CCTCGGACTACCTCATGGTTGGGAACTCGCCCGCCTCGTCGCCCAGGTACCTGTCCGCGGCGGCAACGAGTAGCACCAGCACGAGTCCGCGGCCAACGTCGAGTACGGCGGCGACGCTAGTGTTGTCCGGTTGCCCCAGCAACATGATGGAACTGCAGGTGGATATCGCGGACAGCCAGCAACCGCTGAACCTGTCGAAGAAGTCGCCGTCCCCGTCGCCGAGGCCGCTCGTAGGGCCCTGCAAAGCTCTGTCCCTCGAAGCGTAGTGGTCTCGCGACGTCGTATGAGCGTGTCGTTGTTCGTGACGTTCCGAGACGTGGAACGCGCGTGTATCGAGCCCACCTATGGAGTGATTCGCAGTCGGTGTTTTGGTGTCGCGGTCCATGCGTCGAACATGCCGAACACGAGAAGTGCCAGGACGCTGCAAGCGCGTGATAAACCAAATAATTTATTAATTTAAACTATTAATGTCGAGAACTGCGCGAGGTGGGAAGGTGGATGCCGGAGTGTCGGCCGTGTGGACGCTTTTTGGGAAAGTGCCGGTCTAGTGCCGTTTATTCATCTACCTACCATCTGTCGATACAAACGACGATAGGTGAGGCTCCCCCGGGAGCAACGAGGGAATGTTACAGAAATCTATCTACATGTGATAATCATGGAAATCGCGCATCCTGTACAGTACTCCACCTCATTCATCGATCATCTACTCTACTATAATTATTGAATATTATTAAAGTAATTAATATTATTGTAACATGTGTAAGGTATAATAATCGTAAAAAACGTTATCATCTTGTGTATGAGCGCGTAGGGAGATGAGAGCGAGAGTGCGAGGGAGAGAAAGTGAGCGTGCATGAGAACCGACCAGAAGACGAACGAACGAATGGAACGTGTGCTTGTGCATGTGAGTCGGGGCAAAATCGCAGCAAACAAAAGATGGCTTCCACGAGCCAGTGGAGCGCGCATTTTAAATTCGAGAATCAAGCAAAAACGTTTTAAGATGTTTCGTTCAAAACATATATATATATGAGACTGACCCGGCCCGCCGCGGCCTCCAGGTCGACCGTACCTTCCGGCCGCTTCCCGAACGGCACCTCCAGCTATATCGCCGGCACATCGAAACGGGGAAGGTACGAGACACCAGCGTGCATGGGTGAGATAGTGAGCAGAGTGGAGAGAGGAGTCGCATGGAAGTCCGGTAGAATCGGCATTTAAAACGGCGCAGTGTAAATAGTAGATCGTAAGGCTAAGTCCTAGAAGGCGCGAGTGGAGTTTTTTGCTTTACGCTCGGTGAGAAAGAGGCAGGAAAAGAGCGAGCGAAGATACGCGGCGGG